ACCCGCACCCGCACCCACACCCACACCCACACCCACACCCACCCACACCCAACCCAGCCAGCCAGCCATCCATCCATCCATCCAGAACCGCACCGTCGCTCACCACGTGTGGCTGCGTTGCTGCAGACCTTGCCGTAGCCGCAGACCTCAAGAATCGCGAGCAGCGAGCTGTTCACAACGTTGCTATGGGAGCGGGTGCCTCAGACACATCTGCCAAGACTGCACAGGAATCCCAGGAATCAACAGAGCCTGCCAGTAGCCTAGTCGATGCGGTGGCATCTACTAGCCAGCCCCCTACTGTCAAGGTCCCAGAGCCCGAAGCGGCAAACCTTTCCGCTTCTTCGGATTGCAAGCTGTCGGAAACTATGGCCGATGCAGACAACCTCCAAGAGTCCAGCCGAGCGCAAGACACAGGGGAGCTAACGCAGTATTTTTCGGGGCCTTACTTGCAAGGCAAGCTCTACGAAGGGTTGCAGTACTCCCTGGACTCCGTCTACAAGCCCTTGACCTTCAGGTATGATGCCCCTGACGGTGCTGTGCATGTGTGGCGTCATGCCTTCGATCTACGTGACGTCCAGTCTTCGGACAGCAAGGAGGGTGTGCGCATCCTCTACCACTACACGAATGAGCTTGCCTTCCTGAACATTGGTGACCTCGAGCAGAGTAGCACGGAGCTCTTCGCTTCCCTCGTTGATAGTCGGGCCCATTTCGGCAAAGGTGTGTATGCTAGCCAGCATGAGCCCTCTGCATTTAAACTGCGGGTCCGTATTCTCCTCAACAACTACAGCAATGGTAGCCCTGATTGTCGCGCGGATGATCCTGAGCATGCTCGTGTCCTTTCTGAGTGGGGGGATGCTAATCCCAGTGGGCATCGTGCGGGCTTTTGTATTCCCATCATTGCACCCGAGCAGTTGGCGTATAACATTTTTCAGAAGCAGACCCCTGATCTTGCCGAGAAGCAAACGCAGGATCCGACCACAGGGAAACTGCGCCCGATCCGCTTAGGCGAGGACTACAAGGGCCGAGCTATTCATCGGGCTCGCGATGTTTGGGTCCTCAGGAGCGTTGACACTTCCGGCAAAGTGGTCAACGCTTCGGTTGACGCTGACAGCGTGCTGGAGCTTCTCAAGCTCCGCTTGCGAAAGCTCCGTGACACGGATGGGGACACAGGCCCAGCCACGTTGGACTGCATGAGCGAACTGGCCGACAGGCTGGCAGGCCGTGCCCAGCACGCTGAGGCCGAGAAGCTGCAAAGAGAGTGTCTCGAATGCCTGCGGGACAAGCTTGGCAATGATGCCCCTGAGACGCTGTTGACCATGAACAACCTCGCCATGCTGCTGAAAGATCAGGGCCAACCTGAGGAAGCAGAGCTTATATTTCGAGAGGCCTTAAAGACGAGCCGTGCCAAACTCGGCAATGACCATGAGCATACACTTCTCTTGGCCGGCGGTCTGGCAATACTCCTGCAGGACTGTGGGCAGCTGCAGGAGTCCGAGCCGTTGTACCGTGAAGTGTTGGAGGGTCGCCGGCGAAGGTTTGGCAAACACCATCCGGACACACTCGGGGCCCTCAATGACGTGGCATACTTGCTGAAAGTTCGGAACGAACTGGATGAAGCTGAGTTGTTGTACCGAGAGACTTTGGACGGCCGCCGCGCGAAGCTTGGCAACAATCATCCAGAAATGTTCAACTCCATGCACAATTTGGCAGCTCTACTGCAATCTCAAGGACGATTAGATGAAGCTGAGGCAATGTATTGCGAGGCTTTAGAGGGTCGGCGGAACAAGCTCGGAGAGGATCACCCTTCCACTCTGAACTCTGCCAATAGTCTGGCAGGCCTGTTTGCTGCTCAGGGGCAGTTGGATAAGGCAGAGCCGCTGTTCCGAGAAGCTTTGCAGGGTAGAAGGGCCAAATTTGGCGATGACCACCCATCTACGTTGGCATCTTTGAACAATCTAGCAGGACTGCTGCGTGCGCGGGGCCAAGTGCGGGAAGCTGAGCTGCTGTTCCGAGAGGCCCTGCAGACAAGCCGGCTGACCTTAGGGAGCGACCATGCAAAAACACTGGCTTTCGCTGGCAACCTCGCTCGCCATCTGCGTGACCAGGGCAAACTCAAGGAGGCAGCCCCGCTCTACAGAGAAGCTTTGTGTGGGACGCAGGCTCAAATGGGGGAGTCACATCCGCAGACACTTGGACTGATGTTCAACCTGGCCGTTCTGCTGGAGTCTGCGGGCGAGATGAAAGAGGCAGAGGAGCTTTTCCGCGAAGAGCTGACTAGGTCCATGAAAGAGAATGGAGTCTCCCATCCTGACACCATGGAGTCTGCTGGGAACCTCGTGAGGTTCTTTCAGGAGCAAGGCCGGGTGACGGAGGCACAAGAGCTAATTGTGAAGATCCGGCGTGCCGTCGCATGAGCTAGCGTTGCAGACGGCTTGCTTTCCATGTAGTGGCTGCAGTCAGGCGTAACAAAGACTGCATCGCATCCCTAAGGGACGGTGGCTGGTATCCAAGGTTTCTCCTACTCCCTGTAGCCAAAGGCCCAGGGTCTGTGCTGGAGATACTCCTGCGAGTTATGATGTTTCTCTACTTTCTGAGCAGCTGTCCCTGTCAACTGGGCAGGTGCTGAGGGCACTGCGAATTGTTGTACGAGCTTTGTGACCAAAAAGGTTTTGAGCTTGAGTCTACCTCAGAGACCAAACATGGGGTAAACTTCAAGCTGCCTGTCTGGAACCTGTAGGGTGGTTCGTGCTAGGGCAGCTAGGACAAGCCTCGACGAGGACGGTCGGTGCAGTCAGGGGTGGGTCAAGCTTCTTGTTTGCACCTTCAGTGTGAAGGCCATGTTGGCCGACCAGGTTCTTCCATGTCCTGGCAGACAGTTTTTGAGGATCGCCTTCGACAGCATGCGGCAGCAGAGGGAGGTCAGTTGGAGCTACCAGCTACTGGGAGGACATGCGACTGTTGTTGCATCAGTCACAACTAGAACAATGAGACACAACAGTTCTCAAGCTCGTTGCAAGCACATCTAGCAAAGCATAAGAAGCAAGGCACAGCAAAGCATTGAGGCTTTAATTTTCAGCTGTGGTTTGAACCTTTCTTTGCATGGTGTGCTTCCTATATGTTTTCCCTGTAGCTGCAGCACTCTCTAGGCTACTTTTCATGGTGCCCCAAAGCATTGACACTGAAAGAGCGATGTGCAACAGCTTGAAGCCGTGTCGATCTTCAACTCGGTGTTCGCAGGCACTGGGCCCCCGTCGGACGCTGTTTCCGGTGATCGATCTTCACGGCAGGGCCGCCTCCCGAGTCCTGGGCGTATGGAGCCAGGCGTAAGAGCGAGACTCTCAGGTCTCTGCGGTGACACTCCTCCCGGGAATGAGCATGCCGAATGTGAACTTGAAGGCAATTTCCGAAGCTTTGGTGAGCTGTAAGGACTCGCTCTGCTCTTTCGATTTGCCACAGGCGCGAAACAAGATCAGAGAGAAGGACCTGAACCCGCTCGGCTTTAGGGGGAAGAAGGCCAGGGCCAGGGCCGCTGCCACAGTGCAAGATCTGCGTTTCCAAACAAAAACATCCCGGGCACATCTCCAGTCATTTGTCCAATTCTGATGTTCCTTTTGCAGGTCGTTGGGTATAGGCCTCGACTCGGAGTCATCTTGCAGCCGCCAGTCTTCAGTCTCAGAGCCAACCCTAATGAAAGCTGGCACGACGAAAGCAGCTAGAGTTAAATCGCTTGCCCCCTTCATCGGGTCGAGACTCGGCGTTTGCCAGGCCGTTCCAGTGCCGGGACGGAGCCTGCCTGGCTTGGGCAAGGCGGGCCCTTTGCGAAAGTTGGAGCTGCACATCGTGTAGAGTCGTCTTCTCACGCACATTCATGCCAATTCATACATCAGGTCACGAGAAGGCTCGACCCTATTAACATGGAAAGCCTTGAGCCAGGCTGTGGAAGTTGAGCCTGAAACGCTTCCGGGCTTCCACGAGCTCTGATAGTGGCGCGAATTTTGCGCAGCACTGGACTTCGTGGGAGATCGTCGGAGGCAAGAGCACAGGCTACGCTTACAGGCTGCTGGGGGAACTGCAGGCGACATGTAGAAGAAAGCAGCTGCAAGCACGCTCTCAGGAGGGCAGTGTTGTTCCCGCACTTGCAGTGCCTGAGACTGCTCTAGTTGGGTTGAAAGTTCATTGTTAGGCCACATAGAATCGCAGAGCATCCTCGGCGGGAGGGACCGAGATTTGAATATCTTGCAGAGGGTCGCTCATCGCCGGACGAGGTTCTGTCATGCTCCTACCCTGACATAGGACTAGGACTTTCTTGGAAGACCTTCCACCTCGACGCTCAACTGCGCACGGTTTCACGCACGTCAGGTTTGTCGACGTGTTTCTTCAGTAGTCGTGGAGCCTGTTGCGGGGCGTGACATGAAGCTTCTGACAAATACTACAGTATTACTGGTCTCGGAGATGCACTCCACGTCAGACACTACCACATTCTTCGACAAAGGGTCAAGCCGACTCGACAGAATCAGAATATTTACTTAGGTGCTCACTTTGCTGACGAGTTTGTTTATGTTGCATACATCTCTGATTCTTTTTGCCGCGAGGAAGATGCTCGTTGAAAACGTGCACAAATTGACATACACACGGAAAGTTGAGTACACACACACACGCACACAAACACCCTCTCTCTCTCTCTGCCTCTGTCTTCTTCTCAGTCTCTTTCTCGGTCTCTGTCTCGCTCTCTCTCTCTCTCTCTCTCTCTCTCTCGCTGTCTCTCGCACGCACACTTAAACATCATCGCTCTGAAGCTGCAGGCTCCAAATGCCGAAGGCATTCCAGGATGTGATCCGAGTTAATGTCGTGCCATTGAGTTGGCTGCCAGCATGTTTCGGTCAGAAATGGCAGCAGCATGCCCCCATTCACTGCATCAGTTGTTGCTCTTCAGTGCTGCTGAGAGTTTTGTCCAAATCAACAGAAATCGGGTAGCGAGGCATGGGTTTGGGAAGGTTTTGGCTCAGTGGATCGGGAATCCAAGACTCTGGATGTCATTGGCACGAGTGGAGAGGTTCATGAGCATTGCCCGGAAAGACAGGCCCAGCTACATGTAGTGTTTTTCTGTCGCTCTTTACGAACCTGAAAGGCACATTCTAAGTTCCTCTGCGTTCTACGGCGCCTCTCCTCTGGATCACTGCCGAAGTTCTAGGCTTCTGGCTATGGGCCGCTGGCACTGGTTGGGGCTGTGGCTCTTCCTTCATGAGGCTCTTGCCTCCCCGTAAAAGCTATGCCAAGCCCGGCTTCGTAAGCGGAAGAATCGAGTACAGAGGTGGGCTGCGTGTTTTCAAGCATTGCTGCGAACTGCCGCAGTCTGCTTCATGAGCTTCGCATAGCTTCACAGTGCTTGGAACCCGAAAGCTCGAAGGAATTTCAACACCGTCAGGTCACGCAGCTGCCGCTCGTGGAGCCCCCGACTCCACGCGACGTGGAGCGCCGGCAGCGGCTACACAGGCCCCGGATGTAGAGGTTTGTGGCCTTGTGCGAGATAACGGGCACTGCAAGAACGTTCTTTGCTGGAGGGCGTGAGGATCACGCTGTGCAGCTGCAAGCCAGGTGGCCAAACTTCCCTGCTGACGTTGTCGACACCTTCCGGCAGTGGGGTCGAGTTCTTAGACTGAGCCACTGCAGTCAGCTGATGCTCAGTTTGACCGCAGCACTGCCACGAACAAGCACGGTCTCGTCCGGGAGTTCATGCGACTTTTTTTTCCAGCCTTGCGCCTTGCCCCAACTCAGCCAAACAAAAACTGTCCATCCAAGCCCGGAGTCGCAATGACAGGTACTGGCAACTAACTCGCACTACTCGATAGGGATGGATCAGCATATCTTGAACGTGGCGGTGTTCTAGTTCTGTAGGCTTCAACTGCGCTAGCTGGCGGGTTTTGGGAGGGCATGTTTAACGAAGCCCTTCCCTGTCACACCCGCTCAGTTCTTGGGTTCCGGTGCCCCTGCTTTGCAGGTGTGGAGCCTAGGTTACTGGCCTCTGAAGTCCCAGCGTTGCGTGCCGGGGGCGCTGTGGATGTCGACGCGAGGCCACACAGTTTCGACTCCTTTGCCATCCTTTGCGAAAAAGTTTTCCTCACCTGGAGCCCGGGCTGTGGTCATGGTGTCTCAAGTATCTGGTTACATGTGATCCCTTTTTTGCCGTCGGTTCCTTTCTGGGCAGTCCTCCGTCCCGGCCTGGCGGCCAGGATGCGCTTTCTCACCTCCGTGTTCCGGAGGAGTGCCCGGATCTTGGGCAGTGGGGTTTTCGGATGCAACGGAGCTTCCCACAGATACGTCTTCAAGCTGAAACCACGTGGAGGCAAGCACAGCCATGTCTCAGTGGTACAAATCAGGTCGCCAGCCTCGCAGAGCATCCGCAGTTTCTGTGGAGTCGCTTCGAGGCCGTGTGTCCCGTGAGTCGTCTGCTACAGGCAGTATCAGTAGCATCTCAATTCTGCATGATTCTCATCTTGCCGGTTGCCCAACAGTTTTCAGTTCCATGATGACCGCACGGCACGTGCATTTACTTACATAAAGTACATGCTACATGAAAGAGCCACTGCCTCCAACGTGGGGATGCCAGTACCTGTTCCTGGTCTACTTCCCTCACATAGTTCACATCTGCCGCAGTCGAGTGCAGGCCAGGATGATCAGCATATCCAGATCTGTGCCTCAGGCTCACATCTTGCCGCGAGCGCTCTATGCTGACCAGTTGCTTGGCTGACAGCTGACATACTTGCTCTGGACTTTCGGTTGAGACGCTGTACTCTGTATGGCTTGTCCATGAAGTTTGGGCCTATGACTACTGACTAGTGCAGAGTGTTGACAAACTCGTTTTCCGGTTTGTTTCTACTGCCAACGAGTAGCTGCACCCGAACTCATGCCCTGATGGCCTAACGTGTTTTCCCGCTTGCGCAGCAGTTCCAAGATCACGAATCCACTGATCAGAGTTCGCGGAGACACCGTGGGGTCAGATGTCAGGAGATACTGAATTGAAAGCTACCTCAAGCAGTTGGAGCGCATGCGCTGATTCGTCTCAGGTCCCGGTCTAGTTCGTACTTTGGAAATGCTGCGATTGCAAGTTGCAAGAGAACCTCCCAGCCGTTAACTCATCCTAAGGCTGGGCCTTGCGCAAGTCATCGGCTTGCGAGACCTTCTCGGAACTCGAGACACAGCCCTCCAGGAGCTTCTCCATAGCGATACCATACTCCAAAAGCATATACCATTAATTAACGGTATATATATATATACATATACATACATACATCTACATACTTATATAATATGTGGCTGTCTGTCTGTCTGTCTGTCTGTCTGTCTGTCTGTCTGTCCGTATGTATGTATGTATGTCTGTATGTATATACTTGTCTATGTATGTACATTCACTTTACTGTTGTTGTCGTTCTTGTAATAGGCGTACGTAGATGTACATGTATATGTAAATGGCATAATCGCTGCAGATATGCTGTAGATGTAGTTGTATATCTACACATTTGTGCACGGCTGGCAATGTATGTATACGTAAACGTATGTGATTATGAAAGTGTTATGTTATGTGTGTCTGTAAATGTCCTCATGTCCGTGTGTGTAGGACAGTACTGCGTTATATTACATAAACATACGTCTATGTGTACAGCAATAGAAACATACACCTCTCTCTCCTATACGTGTATACACAACTGTATATCTCTATGTGATATATACACAAATGTGCAAGCAGTCCGGAGTAGGTACTGGTTTTGTGTTGCGTTCCGGTCTGGGAAAGTGATGTTGGCTTGTTATGTTGATGTTGTTCACCTGTCACTGTCCCGTACCTCATGAACTACTGCTGCTCCAGCTACTTCTGCTTGTCCAAGTCCTGATCCCCCTTCGTTCTACGACTGATTCCCCAGTCCTACACCGACAGCGGCGACGGCGACGACGACGACGATGGCGCCGGTGGATAATGCACTCACCGCCGCAACTACTGATGCTGTTGTGGTTGCTTGTGTTGTCGGGTGATTGTGTCTCTGCTGCTGGGCGGTGATGGCAATGGTACGGATGGTCTCTTCAATTTCCAGCTGCTGGGTTTCTTTATGGCTATGCGAGCCCCTGCAACCGGAAGACTTCACCTGCAGGATGCCAAAGCCTGGCCGGCCGTTTGTGGCCCGAAAGCTTCTCGTGCCGACTACGAGGAGTTACACTTGGCCTGCACTGCTGCTGGGTTTCGCCACATGTACTGATTGCTGGCTGACTGCGCTCGGAAAGTCCTCGAAGCCCCCTTTTCTGGGGCCTTGTGAGCTCTCCTCAGGAGCTCCATCGCCAGGCTGGGTTCTTCGAATCGAAGACGCTGTTGCACGTTGACCCCTTTTGGTTCCTTTGGATGTCCTTGCCCGAGAACATTCCGGTAGTGCCCAGGTGCAGCAACTGGCCTCCCACTCTGCACCGCTGCTGCCACTGACGCTGGCAGAGGGCCTCGATGGACTTCGGAGAAGGTGGGAGAAGCATCACACGATTTGTCATTGGCATGGGCTGTATTGTTGTTCGGCTTGGATTCACACACGTGAATGAGCATGATCTTGTACTCGATCGGAGTTCGATCACCATGAAGCCGAGCACTCCTGGCGCTCTCTGTCTCTGTGTCTGTGTGTCTCTCTGTCTCTGTGTGTGTGTGTGTGTGTTTTTGTGTTTTCCGTGAGGCTGTCTGCGCCTCCCGTCACTTCCAAGGGCCCCCCGTGAACTTGCTGCGGCTGCCCGCTGGGCATCTGAGCTGACGCGGCGCTCACTCGGGTCTGGGGCAGCTCTTTGAGCTAAGCCCAAGACGTCCTACGACCTGTGGAAATGCTTGGTGCCAGGCACGCTGTCCGCGGTTCGAGCTTGCAGAGAGCATCAGAGAGCACAGACGATGGCACAGCTGAAGGCCCTGCACTGGAAGGGGACTTGGCTTCGGCGGGCGATATGTCATGGAAGAGATGTCATGGAAGCCTACGTCTCGGACGTGGAGTCGTGCGGGAGGCCATGTTCTTCGGATCAGACTCGTGGTCAGCCAGGACGGTCGGCTGTTTTCAGAAGACCTTCCTTCCTGCCAGACTGTCGCGGAAGTGTTGACAACGAGGAACGGCTGCACCCAGGTGTGCAAGAAGCTGTCGCAGAGAGATGAAGGGAAAGAGTATCGAGTGGCTGCAGCTCTTCAAGTCTGGAGCGCCAAAGGCTCTGGGCGATGTCTTCTTGAGCTGCTCAGAGGTCTTAAGGACCTGTAAAATGAGGAGACGCGGACGGCCTCTCCACGGGTGGCCCGACTCTAATGAAAAAGTGTGACATGGGAGGAGGCTCCGCCTCGCCGCTGTGGAGACCGAGGATCTTGGCACTCATCGCTGCCATCGCTCTGGATTCGGCTTACATGCTTTAAGCGAGAAAACATTGGGTTTCGCCGCAAACGGCCAGTTGTTTTGGCAGCTAGCAGCTAGTAGATGACGTGATCGGTAGCCTGATGTAGCCTGGTTCTGCAAAGCGAAGGACTGGAAGGTTTTAGTGTATAGGACACCCGCGACTTGATGAAATCAACTTCGCTTCTATCTTACCAGATCGATCCAGGTCACGAATCATGTCTCGCTGAATATTGCAGTACCCATGTCTGGGATTGACAATTCCTTGACTTTTGATGTTGACCTGTTATCGTACTTGCAGTTTGACGCTCGCAGAGCCTCATGTCACTGCGTAAGTGGATGTGTGTTTGGTGGTTTCATAAGCCTGGTGACCATCATATTTCCTACTGCAGACTTCCGCACTTGTGCGCGATGCCATGGCTGCAGAGCAGCTGCTTGATCTGGCCCAGCGCCTGTCACGAGAGCTCACAGAGGTGCCACCGGTTAGGCTGGGGATGCTTCTGCGAAGCCAAGCCCCTGGTTGCCAGGCGAACACGCGTCTCTCCGAGGAGCGCACGCGTCTCTCCAAGGTCGGGGCCTGGGGCCGGCAAATGGTTCATTGCTGTAGCCCCCGGCAGTTGCTGATGCCGTGGGAGACCTGCGATCCTGTGTGCAGCTTTATGACAGAATCATGTCATCATGCGATGTCCGTACTGAGCACTGCTGTTCCTGACGAGCCTTGGCTTTGCCCATCCTGACAGTGAGAAGTAGTAGCCTAGATCGGGCCGTGGCAGCAATATTCTTAAGCGTCTTTCGCAGTCCCGAGTGCCATGTTTGGACGCCCTGCGCAGCGAGACATGATGCAAGCCTTCCTGGCAAGCTGATGGCGCTTCATGACGAGTTTGTGCCGGATCTGGGACCGCAGGCAGGTGTTTCTTGCAGTCGGCATGCACACTGTGCTCGCCAGCTTCTTGCAGCCGCTCTGTGACACGGATCGGTGCTTCGGTGTCGCTCGCGCGCTCCCATGAACGAAGTGTTCGATTCTTCTATTCCTGGTCGGCGGTCTCAAGGCTGATGTATGGGTGCCATGCAAGTACCTGCCGGCATGCTTCGCCATATAATTGCCCTCGCATCCAATGCCACGCTTCAACTAGCTGACCACAAGCCAGGCAAACCGACCGTGCACGATGCACACATATGCACACCATGTGGTTGAAGAGTCCGTAAATCAAGCTTCGATCAGCCATCAGTCGCAAGCCGACTCGGACATTGAGTACGAAACAGGTACAAACAGCAGTTGTCCCGGCAAAGGACGAAGTCAGACCAGGCTCTTCTCCACACGAGAAAAGCCAAGCTATAGCTTGTCACATCAACCCTCCGTGCCGGTTTGGTTGGCATTCGGCATCGGCAAGAGAAAATTCATCAGGGACACAGCGGCCATCGCAACAGATTGCACCAATCTCTTCGCCGCTGATCGGGCGGCTGGTACGCATGATACTGCGCGGCTCCCGAAGCTTGCAAAGAGCTCAACCACATGGAGGGCATCACGAGATAACCAAGAACTTTGCGCGTGTCGGCCCGCTGCTGCAAGACAGGAGGATGAACATAGAGCTGGAATGATGCAGCGAGTATTGGCGAATGTTCAGACTGTGCTCTTCGATCATTTCCTGCCAAGTAGGTGCACTCCTGCTGGTCGCGGCGTGCGCTCCGCGACGCGCTCCTCACCTTGGACCGCTGATGACCGCTGCGGTCCCGGAGCTGTCGACTCGCGTGGCAGAGCCAATACCCTGTGAGAGCTCCCGTGCCTTGTGCTGCACTGCGCGCCTCGCATGTGCTTGCTCCCGCTGCAATCCGCGCCTCGTGGAAACCAAATGGGAAGTCCTAAGTTCCACTGGCTCTTCAGCGCAGGGACTCGCAAGAACCCCACAGCGTTACTGCGACCATGGTATACCACGTTTTTGAGGTTTTTTGCAAACCCTCTTCCTTCTCTTCCCTATCGCCGAAGCAGGGTGTGCCGACATTGCGAGGCGGCCCCTGAAGGCTGCTGCCTCGTTTGCACGGCATTCCGCGAGGTCCAGGTCTTAGACTCAGACTAGCTCGTCGACTCGCTTTTCGGGCGAGAAGGGTGAGGGCGGCGTCAAAGGCAAGGGCGGGGGCAAGGGCAAGGAGAGGCGATCTCGATGCTCCTCTCGAGCGTCAAACCTGACCTACCGAGGCCAGCGTTGTCACCGTGTCCTCCATGCTCTGCTGAAAATGGGCCTCCATCGCATCCGATGTAGAAAATTTGACGAAAGTGTTCGAAAATTTGTCCGACATGCTCAGCCGCTCAGCGAGCAGACACAGTTGGCGCCGGCCCGCGAAGCGGTGCCCGCTCCCGCCCGCTTTGCGATGTTAACCCTCCGCAGGAAACACATGGCGACCAGCCTGGCACTGGCGAGCCGTATTCCTCAGTCCAAACCTCGGCGGCCTTGAACACGACTTCTCTCTCAGGTCAGTCAGCTGTTTCTGCGCACCCTTCCGAAGACAAGCACAAAAGCAAAAATCCGCACGCCAAAGGCTGCACATAGGCATGTCGAGACGCGAGTGCGCAGGCAGCCGTGCGCCTTGGTCGAGACGTCGCCTTCCGGAAGCCGAACGGACAGCGCGCACGTTCGTCTTCAGGGGCGTGTTTTGCCGCCTAGCAGCCCAGCACTTCGCCGAAGCGCTCCAGATCGCTCCAGAGCAGTTCGGTGTCGGCACGTTCTCGGGCACTGAAGCACTTTGGAAGCTCAGCCACGTCGCCAGTCCTGTTAGTCGATGCTGTGGAGGCGTTCGACATCGTTCACGAGCTCTTGCAAGCCGAGGGCGGGGCGGAAGGCGACCCCCTCATGCTTGCGGATTACTCGCAGTTGCCTAACACGCCGCCCTTAACCACGTCGCGGACGCTCTGGCGCAAGGCGAGGGTGCCTTCGCGTTGCTATAGACGACTAATTACATCGTCTGCTCCACCCTGCATGGCGTTCTCAAGCTGGGACCGTGCCCGGGTCCAACTCTCGGTTTAGAATGCAGCAGGAGAAAAGCCGCCAAACATTGCCGCGCTGCCGCCGCACCCAGCTTCCGCTAGAGACGTGGAGGCTTTCGCGCTGGCAGTTGTGGGACAAACGCCGCAGGCAAGACGTTCTGTTGCATGCTTTTCTGCGTGGCCACCCGCGCCAACAACCTCCTCCGTATGCTGCCCGAACGCTCGCAAGCGTTGCGCCATGTTGCGCCTGTTGCAGAATCGCGGACGCGTCGCCAGCCATGCGCTATACCACAGGCGCACAGATGGGCGCTCACCGGACAAGCCAGCGGCAAGGCAAACCAAGATGCAACACTGAGGCTCGCCGGACGTGCCACGGAAGTGCTTCGCTCGGCGCCAGCATGCCGCAGCCATGATGGGTCCAGATTTTTCAAGCCACTCGAGTCATCCGACTAAGCGTGCTGTCGCATTCCGGCGACCGACCGCGAACAGGGTCGCTGCGGGCCCTTCGACGCGCTGGTGGGATGCCGACGTGGGCGCAGACAGGCGGCACTCGCATCACGACCGGCGCATCGGTGAAGCGGACCACCCGAGCGCACCCTCAGAAGCCGTTCAACCGGTGACAACGCATGACAACGCCCGATCCTCCATTGTTGGTTTATTGCAGAATGAGTGCCCGTACGTATATTGAACCGGTGTTATTATGCAATAAGCCATGGCTGGGCTGACTGCGTTTTGAGGCCTGACATATTCCCCAGTGATACGTTCTACGTCGGTTTCTGCAATAAACTTTTTTGTGGTGATGGCCTATCGGCATCGGCGAGTATTCGTTCCAACCCATCAGGATTTTCAGATTTTCGTTTTTGGTGGTGTTCCGCCACCAGTTTCGATCGTGTAGGCTTCAACGAACATCAGTGTATGCGGCCGTGCACACTTCCCGGAACATTCTGCAATTCGAGTTATCAAAACCGGTAATTTCGTTTCTTTTTCTGTGTGTTATGAAGCACGGGAGTTTCCCTGTCTCCCACTGCACATTTTCACAAGTGCTGCTCAGTTCCTAGGAGGTGGCAGGACATTCAGGGTTTCCTATCCGTGGCACCTTGTTTTGTTGCAGAATCCGGTGCCTCACGTGCCTCTGTGTTTCGATTTGCCAGGGTTTGGGCGCACGTGCTCCTGTGCAATCAGGAATGCATCACAGAATCATACACGTGAGGCAAGATGAGGCTGCGGTGGAATCCTTCAGATGCTGCTCCGAGTGCCTGACGTGCCTCCGTACTCCGATTTGGTCAAGGTCAAGCCTGATGCCCGATGGCGGCCAGTTTAAGGCGCAGGCAGTGAAACAATCAGATGCGACGGTTAATTGCGCAGCTCACTGTTTTGTAATGAAATGAATGTAATCATCTGTTATTGTACATTGACATGGTTTGGGTTTACGTGCCCCTGTGCATTCTGCAAGACGTGGACATACAATAGAGGGAACGTGGGATTGCCATCGGGGAAATCCGCGTTCCTGACGATGCTCCCGAGGTGTGGTTTTTTGGCCCAGAGCTTGCTGGAGATAGGAACGGGTCGCCGTGGAATTGCAGAGGCAGCGCAGAAAGTAGCTTAGGATCGGCATGTTCGGCCCGGCTAGCTCGACAGCTTCGCTCAGCGTCGGCTACCCGGCGGCACCGGTATGCGCCAAGGGCCGCCCAAAAGCGTGGACGCAAGTGCACGCTGCTGTGCGCAGCTCCAGAGCCCACCAGCGGCGCCGCCAGCCTGCTGTATAGCGACAGCATGCAGCAGCGTGCAGTGCTGGGGGAGCTCGCAGAGACCGCGCGCGAACGGGGCGGCGCAGGAGATCGCAGGCCTCGCTGCTTCGCCCGCAAGACAGCCGACCCCGGACGCCAGCACCACGAGCCGCTGTGGTCCGGGTCGAACGAGCACAGGGTACCTTCAAAACACGTAAGAAAAGCACGGCATAAGCAAATTCATGCAAATTCCAACAACAATCAACAACAGGTACGGCAAAGGTGGAGTTAGTGCGTCACAGACCGGTACAGGTGCCTGTTTCGCAGGCCGGTCAGCGCAGGTATATGGCAGCGTACATGGCCATAGGGTACTGCTGTAGACATGGGTGGCGAGCACCTTGCCCAAACACGCGCAAACGATGCCCTAGCCACACTTCCCACGGCTCCGGAGTTCCGACTGTCGAGCTCTTGCTTCCGAGTCGTGTTGTTCAGACGGTTGCGGCTGCCCGTGCCACTCGGGCCACGGCGGTGCCGGTGTGGAGGTGTGCTCGATGCCTTGGGTGACCACCGCACAGCGTGTCCGACTGCAACGTTGGAAGGGGCCACGGCGCGAGTTTGCCGCGAAGCTGGTGCACGAGTTGCAACCACCGTCTTCTTACGGACATGAATGTCGACGTGCCCCTCGCTAAGGCCGCCGCATCGAGGTATTAGCCAATGGACTGCCCCTCTGGCAGGGCGCCCAGGCGGCCGTCGACACCACCCTAGTCTCGCCAGTTACGCGGGCGGGCGGCGCGCAACCACGTGCCGAGCGCTTGAACAGGCGGCGAAACGCAAACATATCCACGCATACCCGGAGCTTGGGCGGTCGCGCGCCGTTGCAAACTGGTTGTGTGTTTTTTTTCGCGCACCTTTTGCGCCTGCATCCTACTCTGCCGCTACGGGCGGCCGCGGCTCGGCTGAGGCCCGCTGGTCCAGCGAGCGTTTGCGAGGAGCTCGTGCAGAGCCGGGGCTGGTCCGGCCGCACAAGGCGCAGTGTGCAACGGCAGCTCGAGGAACGTGGTTGCAAGCGGCAGCAATAGCGACGAGGCCACTCCACCGGAGAACCCAGGCTGCCTGCGCAGCTGGGCGGAGCGCAGGCAGCGTGGCAGAGGCATAGGCGCACGCGAGCAAGCCGAGAAAGGAGGCGGCTTCGGCGTCCCAGCGGCCGCCAACCTCAAGCCCAAAGCGACCGAACAGGCTAGGACCATAGCTGCTATACCG